TGTATCCCTTCCTGGACCTTCGCTCTGAATGTTGGCTTCCTCCCTAGGGAGGCTGTCATGACTGCAAAGCCTTTCCCCAGTCAGCTCAGCTTCTATGTCGGCTATTCAAAGAGTGCCATCTGCAGGATGAACTGAGGACTCAAATATTTAATTCATCTTCAAAGGGTATTTGAAGAATTTGTTTAAAATTTGTTCAAGAGCTATTAAACACAAAAGTTAAAGTTTAATGAAGGATAATGGATGGCCACATAAATTCTTCAAAGATATCATTTATGTCTATTTTAATAGCTGCCCTAAATGTCTTTACTACAAAGACTAACCACTGGTAAGAATCACAGATGCCTCCACTATCCCAAGAGTGGAGATGTGTTTGTTCAGGGGCTTTACACTGCCTCAACCCCTCCCTGTGGGTAGCCATTCCCTCTGTTGAGGGCTTGCTTTTCCTTTCAGAAGGACAAATTTCCAGGATCTGTGACAGATGTAATAGCTCTCTTTCTGCTTTGATTCAAGACAGTTTTTTGAACCCAAATACAGAGAATGGGTGCTCAGAATTCCTCTCTCATTATCAGTCTCAGGTAAAGGAATCCTAAATGATAAGGCTGAAAGAGGTCCCTTCACAGAATCACGACCCTTTAGAGCATTGCTTATAAGTTACCCCAGGCTCCTACCCCGCAGCATATATCGCCTTCCTGACCACATCTCATAAACAGTAACCCAAACAAAGAATAAGAGTGTCCACGCTTTGGGCTTTCTGTCATTGCTCTTCTTACTGAAGAACTTTTCAATTCCTGATTAAATCCACTCCTCTTCTCCCAATGGCCCTCATCTAATTGAGAGCAGAAGCAAGAGAGAAAGAAGAACCCTTTCCTGCCTAGATCACCCCATTTTCACCACCTAAACATGGCAATCACGCTGTACAGAACAAAGCAGGTCTCAGGCAGGCTGCTACTGACAGCCAACCTGTCTTCACTGTGGTCAGCATTGGTTTTCCTATGTGGACTAACAATCCCAGGATGCTGGGCCACTCCATCTCCCAGAGTGGGGATCACGGAATAAGGTAGGATTAATTCCCCAACTACAAGATCCAGCTCTGGAGGCTAATTTCAGGGTAATGAGATGGCTCACGAACCCTAGGTAAAGTGCTCCCTTTGTAGCTCATATCTGCTTTTCTCCTTTCCAGAGCAAACACTCCTCCTAAAAGGATGAGCCTTTTGGAAGTTAGAACTCTGTCTTCTCTTTCAAAAAAATACAGTCTTATCAGAAAGCAGAGCCAGGGAGGTGTGGATCATGCCAGTGGATTACTCATGGGAAGGGCCAGAGGAAAGTTGTAATCGATGTCAATAAGGGCGGCAACATCCCCCACCCTCACCCCCTTTGTCTTTGTCCCACACTTTCCATAAGCAAATGGGCACTCAGAAATGAATTTTATGCCCACTTCCTTTACCTCAATAAGGAGGGACAGCATGGAATTAGGATAAGAACATGACTCTGGAATCCAACAGACCTGGGTTTGAATCTCAGCAGAGCCCCTGACAAGCTGGATGACTTGGGCACATGGAAGAACTTTCTAAGCCTCAGTGTTGTCTTCTATAAAACAAGGCGAATACTACCTATCACTCAGGATTGGTATAAGATATATAATGGAAACATAAGCTCTCAAAAATGTGCCCATTCTTTCTTTAGCATGAATTTAAATTCATGTGTTTTTGTTGCTGACGGAAAAGCATTGTCCCACATGAAAGGAGTATCAGGTATCAGCGAGAAGGTGGAGGAACAGTCGGGAAAAATGGGACTGGGGTGGCCATGGGTCTTTCTTGGTTGTAACAAAATGCAAAAACTGTGGTCTATAATCAAAACATGGGCCTACAACCAAGGTTGGCATTGCCTCTGAGGCTATATCAGGCAGAGGGCAAGGAGGATTGAGCTGGGTCAGAGCTATGGGTAGCTTTGGGGATGTCCTTTCTAAATGAGGAGTGCTGAGCCATAGGACAGCCCACAGGCAGAGGCACCAAAGCTATGGGATGGCCCTATTCCAACAGACCACCCCACGTACTACACCCTCCACTCTCAGCTGTCAGGGGATACATGTGGCCCTCTCCCATCCTTGGACCCCTAACAGCCTAGAGAGGAATGACCCAGGATGCATGGCCACTCAGGTATTTTGGATCTGTGCTGCATCTTGCCGAAGGTCCTCACTGGCTAGGAGGCTTTCTTTTTTTGTATTGTGGTAAAATATACACAATATAACACTTACAATTTTAACCATTTTAAAGTGTATAATTGGCCGGGCACAGTGGCTCAAGCCTGTAATCCCAGCACTTTGGGAGGCCGAGACGGGCGGATCACGAGGTCAGGAGATCGAGACCATCCTGGCTAACACGGTGAAACCCCGTCTCTACTAAAAAATACAAAAAACTAGCCGGGCGAGGTGGCGGGCGCCTGTAGTCCCAGCTACTCGGGAGGCTGAGGCAGGAGAATGGCGTAAACCTGGGAGGCGGAGCTTGCAGTGAGCCAAGATCATGCCACTACGCTCCAGCTTGGGTGACAGAGCGAGACTCCGTCTCAAAAAAAAAAAAAAAAAAAAAAAAAAGTGTATAATTTAGTGGTATTAAGTACATTCACAGTGTTGTGGTGCATCCATCACCATCATCTATCTTGAGAACTCTTCATCTTCATCTTGCAAAACTGAAACTCTGTATCAATTAAACCAGGGGTGTCCAATCTTTTGGCTTCCCTGAACCACATTGGAAGAAGAATTGTCTTGGGCCACACATAAAATATACGAATGATAGCTGATGAGCTTAAAAAAATTGCAGAAAAATTCATAATGTTTTAAGAAAGTTTACCAATTTGTGTCGGGCCACATTCAAAGCCATCATGGGCTACATACAGCCTGTGGGCCATGGGCTGGATAAGCTTGCATTAAACAATAGCTCCCTATTCCTCCCTTACCCCCAGCCTCTGACAACCACCATTCTACTTTCCATCTCTATGAATTTGACTACTCTAGGTATAAGTAGAATCATAAAATATTTATCCTTTTTGTGAATGACTTATTTCACTTAGCATAATGTCTTCAAGGTTCATCCATGTTGTAGCATATGTTAGAATTCCCTCCCTTTTTAAGTCTAAATAATATTCCATTATATGAATAGACCACATTTTGTTTATCCATGCATCTGTCAATGGACATTGGAGTTGTTTCCACCATTTGAATATTGTGAACATGGGTATATAAATATCTGTTTGATGGCTGGGCACAGTGGCTCATGCCTGTAATCCCTGAACTTTGGGAGGCTGAGTTGGGTGGATCACTTGAGGTCAGGAGTTCGAGACCAGCCTGGCCAACGAGGTGAAATCCCATTTTTACAAAAAAAAAAAATACAAAAAATTAGCCAGGTGTGGTGGCAGGCACCTATAATCCTAGCTACTCAGGAGGCTGAGGCAGGAGAATCACTTGAACCCAGGAGGCGGAGGCTGCAGTGAGCCATGATCACATTACTGTACTCCAGCCTGGGCAACAGAGCGAGACTATGTCTCAAAAAAAAAAAAAAAAAAAATCTGTTTGAGTCCCTGCTTTCAGTTCTGTTAGGGATACACCCTGAAGTGGAATTGCTGGATCTATGGTAATTCTATTTTTAATTCTTGAGGACCCTCCACACTGTTTTCCACAGTGGCTGCACCATTTTACACTCTCATCAACAGTACACAAGGGTTCCATATGAGGCTTTCTTTATCTCACAGGCTGGGTCTAATCCACCCATATTCCCTGGGCTCAGGTCACTGCTGACATGGTCTTTCTGGCTCCTATAAGGCCTCTCAATTTTCAGCAGATGCTTGCAGCTCCCCTAGAGAGGCAGTAATGCTCCATGACCTTCCTGTTCTTGCTCGGTTGTTGACATACCATCTCTTTTTGCATCCATAGCACATAGTCTGTCTGGGGCTGGGAGCCTCCCTGGGTGAGGCCTAGGGCTCTGCACAATGGCCAAAGTGGGGCCCACATTGAGGGCTGTCTGCCTGGTGGGACTGAAGTCAGCTCTGGCTAAAGCGGTGATGTGGCAAAACCTAGCTCTGTCATCCTCACTCCTTCAGCAGCACCCACCCCTCTGTCCCATATGGGCACCCTCCCTGCCTTATTCTTCATTATTTTGTTTTACATGGCAGCTGATCACACCTGATAAAATAACTGGAGAGTAGTATTTCATCTTGAAAATGAAAATTCTCACGACCCATTTGGAAAACTCCCCAGTGGAGAAATATAACAGAGTTAGGATAACATTTTTAAGATGAAGGCTCTGAACAAAAACACTTTAAAACAATTATACTATTAGACAAATGGCCAGGGCCTCTCATACATCTTTGCGCAAATTCAGAAATGGTGCCCTTTTTGGATCAGGTGTGCAGCTCAGCTAAAAGACTGAACATTATATAAATGGAAGTTTAAATATTGTCCAAATGACACCAAGGCAGGTTCTTTGGGCACATTCAGCCCTGTGAGTGCATGGCTGGTGAGCAGGTGTCACCTGTTTCTCCAGGTCCTGGAAGGTATGTGGCTTTGTAAGTAGAGCTGGGACTGATTTTTAGCTCTCACTCACTGGCAGTAACAACCATAAGCAGCAGCCCTGGGGTGATGAGGAATCTAATAATGTCATTCCCTCCCACCAGCACCACCTTGTGGACAAGGCATTTTTAGATCACACCGGCAGGAAGATTTTTTTGAAAGATCATAAATATGGGCATCTATTTTACCACTCACCTAGAATCCAACAGAAGACAAAGGACTCCTTGCATCAGGCAGGAAGGCAGCCCAGCAGCCACAGGCTATCAACCCCGCATGCCTCACCAAACACCAAAGCCACAGCGCTGGTCTCCCTCATCTAGACACACACACACACACACACACACACACACACACACACACACACACA